TGTCATTTTTGAAATTATTAATGAGAGACTTTTGTGAAGAAAGCACCATTAACTCTCTCTCTTTCTCTCATCCTCTTTTTTATAAACTCTTCCAATTATCTCTCTTCATTAATCATGCCATTAATACTTTCTCCTCCAATAATAACTCATACCATTAGTTCCTTCTCCTTTCAATTACTCAATTAAATTGCATACATTTCATTAATTCTTTCTATATCTAAGTCCATTTCAATTTAAGTATAATTTTACATCTATTAGATATATTTACATTTATTCTATAATTATTGATAAAAATTAATTTCAACCAAAAAACAATTTAAAACATAATTAAATTATTTAATTGTAATTTATAACTCATTTAAATTCAATGGTAGATTATTATAGGCTAAACAATTAACTTCCATTTGAAAGATAGATGATTTTTCAGTTAATTAATCAAGTAAATTGCATTTCAAAATAAATATTGTTTACTTCACTTAGGAATAAAATTATTAATATTTTAGATAGAAAATCGCATTTAATTGTGATTATTAATAAAAATGTATAATTATTGTCACATTTACTTTTTGAAAGATGATATACTTATTAAAAAAATTAATTATAATAATAAAAAGTATGAATAAAAAATCCCATTTTAAAATTACTCTATAATAAAATTTAAAATCAATTAGTACAAATATATCACATAAATTTTAATTCATTTAAATTCCATTCGAAAAAATAAAAATTCATTAAAAATAGTAAAAGTAATTAATTATTTAGTAAATTACTTAATAACATAAAAAATAATTATTAATTATTATTATTTCTAAAATATTTTTTACTAATATAAAAAAAGTAAATAATTATTAAATTAATATAATTTAGTTTTTACTAATAGAATTTATGAAATTAATAAAACTATATTTTGTTAAATTTAATGATTTTTATCTTAATAAATTAATAAAAATACTAAAGTAAATTAAAAGTAATATCCATTAAAAAATTTATTAGTTTTGAAATTTGTTTTTTTAATTTAAATCCTATAAATGTTGGTAAAGCTAAACATTAATAAAAATACTGATGGGCTTGATTTGGATTGGCTCTACTTGCTTAGAAGGTTGGAAGAGAACCAAAGGACCAAGGAGTTAGACCTGTTCAGGGCTGGCCAGGTTGGGCTCGGGCCGGGCTTTTACTCTTCATAAACATGATTTTGTTAGGCCGAGCCCAGGCCTAGCCCAACCAACGGGCCTATAACATGGGCCTGAGCTCTACCCTAATAAAAATCCTGAAGCCCGAGCCTAAGCCCAAAGCCCAACCTAATAGAAGAAAGAACTCACCGCCAGTGACTGTGTTCGTCGGTGCTGAGTTCGTGTCTGTGAGAGAGAGAGAGAGAGAAAGAGGGAGAGGACTCACCGTCGCCGGTGCCGGTGCCTGTGTTCACCGCCTCGCCGGTGTTTGGGATTTGAAAGAGGAGTGAGAAGAGGAATGGGAGAGAGAGAGAGAGAGAGAGAGAGAGAGAGAGAGAAGACTCACCGCCAGTCTGTTGGAGTTGTTGCGCCGGTGAATGTTCGCTGATTCTACGGCTGCTTGAGAGTGTGAGGAGGATGTGAAGAGAAGAGAGGTTCGGCACTGGGCAATTCAACTAACAAGAAATGTGGAAAGAGATGAATGAGAAGGGTTAGGATATTAGGGTTTTTGGGTTTAGTCTATTGGTTGGGCCAGGCTATTTTGGCAAATCCCGAGCCCAGCTCAAATTTTTTGTACACCGAGCTTTTTGGCCCAAGGTCAAACCCGTAGGCTCATTTGCGTGTTCAAGCCCGTCTAGGGGCCTGGCCAGCCCGTCGGGCCACCTGGCCCATGAACAGGTCTACGAGGAGTTCATAAACGATTAGGGAGAGAGGATGATTAGGGTTAATCATGGGTTGGGTTAGACTTAGCACCTATGATAAAGGCTATAGGCCAAGGCCCATCCCGACTTTGGCTTCAAGCTTGAAGCATAAGCCTTGGGTCAAGCTTGATTCTAGGCATATGACTTTTATGTATAAAGTATTAATTATAAATACTATTTTATATTATATATATCAAATTTGTGCTTTCTTAGGTTCAGGTTGAAAATGATCACCCCTAGAATGAAGGAGAAAAGTACTTTGCTAAAGTAAATTAGAGAATTAACCAACCGAGGGCTGGCTCATTGGTGTGTTAGGTGGTTTGTTCCAACATTGACACGGAATCAAATCCCACAATCAACACTTTGGGGAAAAGGGGTAAGGGGATATTATCAATGGTGCATAGCATTGGATACTAAAAAAAAAAGCAAATTAGAAAACCTAGTGTTGCTACCAAGGATGGGCTGAGGGCAACAAGGTAAACCCACTTCCTTAGTTGAGGCCGATGTGTCCAATCCTAAGAGTAAGAGATCACACGTTAGAGGCCCTGGATGTTATCTCAGGGGCGGAGACTCCGATGATCAAATTAATCGAGTATGTAGGAGAACTTGAACGAGGTCCGAGGTGAGAGTTCAAACGAGCCACTCGAGAGAAAGAAAGCTAAAGATCATGAATGAGCAAGATGGTTTACCTGGAGAGGGGCACCTCTATTTATACTTGACTTTGCCTTGGGAGTGATTGGAGGTGGTTGGCAGCGGATGGCTAGGATTGCATTCGATAGATGCCACGTGACGCCATCTTGGCCTGCCACATGCGCCTACATCACCTAGAAACAAAGGGAACGATTTAGAATTTTCGGTTCATCTTGCATTAGTTTGTTCATTTTTTGGCCAACAAAAATTATAATAATTTTATAATTTAAATTTTCATTTAATTATAATTTAATAAATTAAGTTATTTATTTTGTTAGTTAACTAATTAGTAATGTCATAGGATCAGTTAGACATAGCAAAAAAAAAAAATGTTTAAATTAAACTTAGGGTCGTGAATTATACATAACCTCTTTCTTAATTGATTCTGAAAGATGTTGACAATCTCTTTATCCCGGTCAATACTCACGTAACATCTTATGTTAACTACCTAATTGCAGAGTGCCTGCCAGATCATCTATATTTCTATTCATGAGTAAAATTATCTCAGATCTGTTCAACATGAGAAATGATTTGTGAAGCGTTCGTTCTTTCAATCTCCTCATCCTCTCCCATTCTTTGGCTAAGGGTCCATTTGGTTTGCAGGAATAGGGGTCAGAATTGGAATGGCTCATTCCAATCAAGGTTCAAAGTATTGATACAGGCTGCCGTATTTGCCTGTATCGGTATTTTTTTTTTGTTTTGTCATTTTATTTTTTTTTTAAGAATCTGGTTCAGAGGGCCGGTTTAAGGCTGGCTGGTCTACCCCCTGAGCCACTTGCTGACCCAAAACACCCCTTGTAGGGGCATATCGGGAAGGCTCCAATAAGGGCGATACGTATCAATACTTTGAACCTTGATTCCAATCATTTGGTTGGCTGGAATCAGAATCCAATTCCCGGAATGACATTCCCCCATTTGAGGGAATGGCCATTCCCTCCTCCCTTAGGAATGAAAATCTCAATCTAAAAATTCCGGTTCTTGTCTGAACCAAACAGAAAGGGGGGAGGGGGGATAAACCATTATAATTCCGATTTTGATTCCAACTGTAAACCAAACAGACCCTAAGTTTAATGATCCAATATTTCTTTCTTCATCAACTTATTGGATGTAGAGCAAACAAAAGTGATTTTTTAAGCGAACAGATAAAATGATTGTAGTTGATGCTATCCATTATACTGTTATATGTAGACCTGACAAAAAGTTGACCCAACCCACCCCAAAAACAGGGTTAAGGTCTATATTTAGCTACTTGAATGTGAGAATGACCCGACCCGACCCGACCGGAAAAATTAGGTTGGGTTGGGTCATGAGTCAACCCGCTGACCCGATTGTTAAGTCAAATTGGGACTATTTATGCATTGTTAGAAGTTTACACTCTTTAATTTTATCTATTTAGTCATTACTCTTTATTGTTTACTCTTTTAATTGTTAAATGTTCAAGTTTTTTTATTTTATATTTGGAATTTTAAGATTAATTCCTTTAATTTTGGTATTTTTCATGTTTTTTTTTATATATTAGTTATTTGTTGGGATGTCCTGAATTGACCCATGGGTCAACCCTAACCCGAACATTTAGGGTTAGGGTATAGCATTTGATAACCCAACCTGAAATTCAACCCAACCCGAAATCAAACCAAAGTGTCTTGACCCAACCTAAGCCTGACCCAACCAACCCAACTGCTAGGTCTAGTTATAACGCATTATATCTGTTGCCGCGCGGATTGGCCGAGGGCAACGAGTTAAATTCACTCTTTAGGTTTCGAGTGTTGGCCGAGGACTTTGGGGCCTCGGAAGAGATTGACGCCGAGGACGGCAAGCCAAGGCGAAGTATTCCTTCCGAAGACTATGGTAGCCGAGGACTGTAGGTTGAGGTGAAGTCCTTGGTGACCAAAGATACTACAAGACAGAGAATGTCAGAGGCCTCAGGGTGGATACCCGATGCGAAGTCTCCGACGCTCAAGTTAGTATAAGGTGTAAGGTAGGAGAAAAGGCCTGAGAGCTCCTAGAGAGAGTTTTCAGAGGCACCAGATCTCTTTGAACTAATGCTAGGAAAGCAATGTAGGTGCAGGGAGTAAATGAGTGAGTGATGTTAGAGTTACTCTGTTCCAGTAGTTACCTCTTATTTATACTTGAGCATGCTAGGGGTAGGTGAAGATGAATGCCCCGGATGAGAGCTGTACGAGGTCAGGCTGCAGGCCCTGGCGGGTACGCCAGACAGCTATGTGGTTGGCTCCGTATAGAGGCAGCATGACTCCCTCCTACCCTGGCTGAGGCTAGCGGGCGTTGGTGGGCTGGGCCTCTCAGCCTTATGTGGGCTGGGCCAAGCTAACTCACATCAATATCCATGAGTCCAAAGCCCTTCTAAAGATAATGCAACTCCAACCTTTGAAGAAAGCTAAGAAATTCATTCACAAGAGATAAAGAATGATAATGGCAAAAATTAAAGTAAAAGAATTGGACAAGAGCCAATATTCATCCTGAATAGCTTTTTCATGTCTAAGAGATTACTCTTAGATAAAAGAATAAAGAAAAAAATACATTGACGAGGAAAAAAGGATAATGATTATTCTAACAATATGAACAAAAGAGGGAAAAGAAAAAAAAAGAAAACATGAAGAAATTCACTTAGACTAAACATCGTCAGCACATATCGGAATGAAAAAGGGTTGGAGTCGTGAAAAAGGTGCAGTTTCTTCCCAATGTAATGCATCCCACCAAGCCTTCTCTCCTTTAATCTCCTTTATGGTATCTGTGAAGTGAATACCCGCAGAAAGATTCCTAAATTTTGGACAATAATAAAAACTGATTTGCTCTAACGAGTGCAAAGTGCCTTGGCAAATGCTAACCAGTTCAGGTAGGTAATGAAGTGATAATCTCTTCAACCTTGGAAGTAGAATTGTATCACAATTGACTATCTCCTCTTCAGTTATTATCTCTTTGACTACAGCACAATCTTCAACAACCAACTGCTCTAAATTAGAGAGATGTTGAAGGATAGATGACCCAAAAATGTAACACAACTTGGGGCAAGAATGCAAAGCCAAATGTTTTAGCTGAGCAAAACTTCCATGTGGCACAATTCCTTTACAAATACTAGTCAAATTCCACATATTATGAATACACAAGCACTTTAGCACTGGTAATGCACTTTCTCTAATAGCCTCTGTTGTATCCAAAATTGTCTCAATCTGTGGACATTCACTTAATATACAACATTGTAAGTAATTCAAATTTTGAACTTTGAATTCTGATAAGCTTTGAACATTCAGATGATGATCTAAATAGAATGCAGTGGAACGAGAAAGGACTTGCAAGATCTCATACGGAAAAGTTTCACTTTCACCATTCACAAATCTTAAACACCGGTCTTGCTGTTGATATTTGAATTCAATGTCAACTGGGACCCGACGTATGATGCGTTTAACATCCTCTCCAACAATAAAATTGAACTTTCTCAACCATTGATGTTTCCATGACTGGTTTAGTTGCATAAAGCACTTCAGAAGTTTTACATCCGGAAAGTAAAATTGAAGATGAGTTAACTCATTCAAACTAGACATTTCCTTTGTGACTTCCTCCACACTTCTATTCCACCGCAAATCCTCTGCATCTACAGCTATGCTCAAGTCTTTTAATAGAAGGAGCCTTGATATTATTCCACGTGGAATCATTTGAGGGGATACATCCAGATTTTTACTGTAGTTAGAATCAACACAAAATGAAACTTGTAAGTACTGGAGACAAGTCAACTCCCCAATCTCATTAGGCAGACTTTCAATATGAGTGCCTTGGAGATCAAGAACCTTAAGTTGCCTAAGTTGTCCAACTTCAGATGGGAGCACAACTAAACGTTCACAATCACATAGAATGAGTTCTTGAAGGTTCACAAGCTTGGAAATTGAAGGTGGTAAGGTCTTAATTCTGGTATTGGACAGATTCAGGATTTGGAGGGAAGACATGTGGTCAAAGAATGATATTGGTATCATTCTCAAACGGTTATTTCTTTGTAGGAATAACAACAATAGCCTGGGACACCTTGGCCTCTCAGGTAGCATGGATACTTGATTATCCATCAAGAAGATCCACTCAGATTTTTCCCACTCCTCCTCTGGTGGCTCTGTAACTCCTATACCGATTCTTGACAACAAGCCCTTACATTCTAATAATGGATGTGTGATTCTTTTTGGGTCTCTCCGAAGAAAGATTTCTCTGCCCTCATTATACATGATCTGTATAGCTTGATTCCAAACAATATCATGCATCTCAACAGATATCTTATCATCAACAAACACCAACAAAGAGGCCTCCACAAGATCCTTTAGTATATCAAGCCCCTTGTGACGTGCATTAGTGAAGTTTCCAATTATAAAACCCTCAGAAATCCATCGTTCTATCAACTCATCTACGTAGATCTTCTGGCCTGGGGCATAAATTGCACATGATAGGAAGCAACTCTTTTTGTTATCATCAAGTTGGTCATAAGCATATTTTAATACTTTAGAAACAAAAGTATGGCCTTGTATCTCAGTGGTAGCGCTTGACTGCAGCTGCGATAATGCATGCATCCACACTTCAACATTGTTATTGTTTTTCAAGGCTCCACCTATCAAATTGATCAGCAATGGCAAACCCCCACACATTTTGACCATAGTTGTAGCAAATGGGTGAATATTTGGAGACGCAACCATTTCACCCATCTTCTCACAGAACACCTCCCAAGCCTCTTCCCTGGAGAGAGAATCCAATTCAATTATCAAATCTGTTGCCATGCTCCCACAAACATCCGGAAATTCAGTAGAGATAATTATCTTGCTACCATTGAGGAGGTACTGGTATGGGATCTGCATATTGAGCTTCCATAGAACGTCATCCAGAAGCACCAAGAACTTCTTTCCATTTAACAATTCAAACATCTTAGTTGAAATTCTTTGAGAAGACACAGTGCTAGATAAATCTGGTAAAAACCGTGGTGCAACTTCATCATACATAGTGCCATGCACATACGGTAATAGTTGTTGTGCAATCTTATCATCCAACTTCTGTGAGCTAAAATCTCTTGCAACAGTGACCCAGATAATAATGTCAAACATGCTTTTTATTTCTGGCATATCCTTCAAAGCTCTCAACAAAGTAGTCTTCCCTATCCCACTTTTCCCCAGAATAGCAATCTTCCTGGTATTGGCATCCCTTAGGCATTCCAAAATTTTGGTTAAATTGCGTTCTATTGGCTTACCTTCTGATCTTGGAATAATTATTCTTTGAGGCTCAGTTGGCAGAGATATTCTGATTTCGGATTCTGCCAAATTTAGCAACTTGTTCTCCATCTCTTCTCCCGCCTGTGAAGGCTGGTCTCCAACCCCAAAAGCATGTGGAATGGATTCTGCCGTTTCACCTTCAATAAAGAGAAAAATGAATAAAATCAAACATCTAGATTTCAAATCAATTCTCAAACTTTTGGAGTAACCTACATGAAATCATAACTGTAAAATATCACATATCATGTGATTTTATTTTCAAAAGCGTAAATTGATCTTCCTGAAAAAGGGTTTAATTCTTTATTCAACTATGCCAGAACAGGGGAAATTTTTTGGAGAATAGTTTCTTGCCTACCTCTCCACTGTATTTGTTCAACCATTTTCTGATCTTCGCTTGGTCCAGCATTGATTGACATACCCTCTGCCTCAGAATCTATCCCTATTAGCCGTTTCCATTTGCCTTCCTGTGGGTATTGGGACCCTACTATTGAAAGCGGATCTGATTTTGCTAAAACTGATTCCGGTTCCTTCAATCTGAATTCGGCTTCCTTCACTGTGTCTATCTCTTGTGCATCTATGGTGCAGACAAAGGAATGAGAGGATGATGCTAAGGAAGCAATCTCGCTAATTCTTCTATATCTGGATTCCGTGGGCTCTTGAAGTGTTGTGTCGGGCTTCTTTGATAGCATTACCACCACGTCGAGCATGGTAGGCCGTAAACTAGGGTCATCTTGAGTGCACAATAACCCTATCTTGATGCACATCTCAATTTGTTCTATGGCTGGATAGGGTTCTAATGTTGGGTCCGTGAACTCTAAGATTCGATTTTTCTTGTAGAGCTCATATGCCCAATCGCGAAGCGTATGCGTATAGGCATCTCGGCGATATAAATCAAGGTTCTTTTGGCCGCTGATCAACTCTAGCACCACCACTCCAAAGCTGAATACGTCACACTTCACCGATATTCTTCCTGTCATAACGTATTCGGGAGCTATGTACCCGAGTGTGCCAGCAACCGGAGCTACCCCAGTCTCATCTTCCAATAAGAAGATCTGAAGGTCGAAACCTGCAATCTTAGGGACCCAGTTCTTATCCAAGAGGATATTACTAAGTTTGATGTCGCGGTGGATAATGGGAGTGTGAAAATCCTCATGAATATAGAGCAGGCCCCGAGCTACCCCAGAAATAATGTCGAACCTCCTTTTCCAATCAAGCCCCATTTTATTCTTCGTGAACAAGAAATTGGAGAGGCTCCCTTGATGGAGGAACTCGCAGACGAGGAACACCTCTCCGCCGTGGATGCAGTACCCCAAGTGCTTCACGACGTTCCTATGCTGCAACAGTGGAAGCCGCTTCAGGAGGAGCTCCTCTTCTCGATTTAATTTGTACGACACCTTCGTTACTGCGATCTCCATCCCATATCCCAATCTTCCCCGGTAGGTCGAGCTAAGGCCGCCCCTACCGATGCAATTTTGGAAATTTCTGGTGGCAGCAGCAAGGGTTTTGAAAGAGAACAAATAGCCTTTCGTTGGTCCATCTTCGTCTGAGTAGGATTTCATTGGTGCATATTCATCTGAATGGAATTTGAAGACTTTCTTCAAATCCAGACATCCCTGTTTCATCATGACCATGTTGCTTCAAGGTTTGTACCTAAGGTGGATCGGCTGAAACACTAAATCAAATCAAACAACCAAGCAAATACTGAAGAACGGTTGAGAAGTAAAATAAATTGGGTAGATTTTGTATTTGGAGGTTGGAAGAGCCCAGACGCTGTCGTTCGAGACTCTAGGTCGTCGCTGGAACTTTTTTCGGAAGAATGCAAATAACTGCAAAATGCGGTATTTTCAAGGCCAAATTTTTTAAATTATCTCTGAGATTTAGGAAATTGACTAATTATATATGTATTATTTGATTAAGGTTATGTTTGGTTTGAGAGAATATAGGGAAAGGAAGGAAAAGTAGAGAAACCTTTACACCTCTTGTTGTTCTTGTTGGGAAAAACAAGCGCTCTCTCTACTTCCCAATCCTAGCATGACCCACCTGACCCTTTCATCTGGCTGCCACACTAGATGCTTATGGTTGTATGGTTTCTTTTGTCATTGTTCCTTCTTGAATCATCCCACCCCAACCATTTCTTGTCCACCCACCCTAGAATTTGGTCCCTTCAATTCCACATCCCCCCCTTTTTCTTTAATTTGAGGCCATCCAACACTATCCACCTTTTCTCTCCTTTCATAATTAATTTTTTAAATTTTAGGGGTATTTTAAGATAATACTGAAATAATAGGGGTATTTAAAAAATTTATCCTATTTCCAAACCTTGTATTAATGTGTACTCCGTCTACACCGGAAGTCAAAAAAGCTTACCACTGGGGAAATTATAGATTATTACTCTTCATAGGCTGTATTGTTAGGGATAAGATAGTGACAAACTGGCAATTACCCCTTGAAAGAAATTTAAAATTCCAATAAAGACTCCTCTCCTCTCTCTATTAGGTTGAGTGAGGATGAAAGCTAATTTACTAAAATACCCAATCGAGAAATTTATATAAAATGAGATTTGCAAAAAAAATAAAAAAACCAAGTAACACTTATGAAAACCTGAAATTGCAACAAACACAACATACAATTATTTCAACTAAACTAATAGCAAATAGGAACAAAAAAAAAACATTAACCTAAATCCCAACACGTGTTTTAGAAAATTGTTGGAAAAAAGAGTAAAGAAGGGAGGATATAGATACAAAAAGGAAAATTGTCAAAAACTCACCATGAGTTTTCATCATTTCTCTTAAACTCACCACAACTTTTCAAAGCATCTAAAACTCACCATGTTAATAAGTTTTTATTTTTCAAAATTCACCTTTCATTAGTGCACCGTTAATGTTTCTTAACAGAGGTGTCCATGTTAGCATAAATAACAATTTTTATGACCAAATCACACTTGAATGGCGAGTTTGAGGAAAATGGTCTTGTTCATTTTTCAATCTTCTTTTTTTTTACATTTTTAGTGTTTTGTTATAATTTCTACTTTTTTTTATAATTTTTCTACTTTTTTAATTTTTATATATATATATATATACATTTTTCTATTTTCTTCCATCTATAAAATTTCCTGTATTTTTTGTTATTTATTTGAAATTTCCGTGTTTTTCTATAATTTTTGGTGTTTTTTCTATAACTTTTATTTTCTGATTTTGTTTTTCAATTTCTATAGTTTCTATAATTTGAAAATAATTTTTTATTTTGTGTGCAATTTCTATATTTTTATATTTTTTTTTGTAATTTCTATGTTTTTGTGTATTTTATTTGAAAATATTTTTTGAACTTTTTCCTTTTTTCATGTTTAAAGGCTGGTGTGGTAGATGGGAAAGATAGGCTGGTGTGGTAGACTTCTATTGGTCTGGTAAAGAAGGGATGTGGTTAACTCCAAATTTTTCCTATTTAAGTTACATGTTTTTGTTATTTCTTTCAAGGGCCAAATACACACACACACACACATTATTTTTTGTTTCTATAATTTGGTAACTAAACAAAGCACCCTTCTCTTCTATCCAATCCGGTACCTGATTTGGATTTTCATATTACCATTCCTCCATTAATCCCCATCAATTAGCAGACAGTGTAAATATGAAATGTATAATGTTGCTTGTCATGTTAGAATGATGTGATATAAGTCTTAAGTCATGTACTGTACAAATACATACAAAATAATATAAAATACAAGGTTTTGCACTCTAGATATTTGTATTTGTACTCCTTCCAAATGGAGCCTAAGGAACCAATTATGAGAGAGAACTAATTGTTTTCAATAGAAACTATAAATGTGTACTGGGATCAGAATGGCATTCTTTTTGTATTGCATTGGTTTCAACTTTCAACTAACAAGAGTTTACTCTGTTCATCCTGTATACTTCTCTACTCTCAGATATTGCAAATTTTAACTTGTTACAAGAGAAGCAAACGAAAGCTGGCTTTGCTTTTAATATTGCTAAACTAGCATATTCATGACCTCTTGCAAGATGCCGGATGAGCTTCATGCTCTGGAAGGGAGGATAGCTAGTTATGCTTCTAGTTAAATTATCCTTGATAGACAACTACTTTTCATTCTTGCAGTCTTGCACCAATGTTAAGAATTGGAATAACTGTATCCAAGAGCTGAAAGGCCAAAAATCAGGATGAGCGAATTCTGGGCTTCAGACCTCAGAAAGAGTTGATGTCAAAGTAACAATGTAAGAGGTCAAGTTTCATCAATTTCTGTTCAGCGGCAGAAAGTTGACGTTGAGGTGAAAATCAACTTCACGAGCTAAACTCTTGTTAAGATCATGGTTAAAAGTATTATTCGTGCAGATATTTGGCATCAAATTGTATTGGAAAAGAATTAAATAAGATGCCCCAGTAGTTGAGGCCAGTCGGCATACCTGTAATGTTGTAATACCAGAAATAAAAAAGAAAACAAAAAGATTAAAGATGACTATTTGATTAATTGTGGTGAACAATCAACTATATTTACATATTCAGAATCACAAACAGTTTTGTACATTCTTACTTGAGGCCCACTTGTTTTATTTCTATGAGCTTGCTGTTTCTAAGGGTTTGTTTGGTTGCCGAGAAAGAATGAGATGAGAAAAGGAAAATTTATCTTATCATTTTGGCATTTCGGTGTTTGATTGCTAAGAAAACTTTTTGCTTGATTTTTTATATTTTGACAAAAAATACCCTTAATAGATACCCAAAATTATAAAATACCCTTATTCCCTTAATATATGTAAAACTAAAATGTTCATTCAATTTATTCTACTGTTCACCGTCTTCCTCCTTTCAAACTCAAACCAGCGTCATCAACGAGGTGAGTTCCAATCTCCCCTCATCTCTCTCTCTCTCTCTCTTCTCTTTTCCCTCCTCTTCCTCTTTCTTTTTTTCCCTCTTCTTCGCTCGCCTTTGCAACTTGAACCAGCAATGACAGTAAGACATCTCTCCCCCTGTTTTCCTTGGTTTTTATTTTTATTTCAGCCACCCCCTGTTTTACCATACCCTGTTTACCACCTCATCACCTGCCCCTCTACCGAACTGTCAACACTGTTACAACTCCATCTCCGAAGCCATTATTCCATTCCTTCGATCCTATAATGTTAATATCCATCCCTCCGTTCACATCTCCAACACTGTCACTCCCTCTCCGACGTGATTACTCCATCGAGCCTTTCTCCTTCTCCAATGCCACTGAATTGTGCATATCTCTCCAACACTGTTACTCCCTCTGTTCACATGCCACATGATATTTTTTCATATCCATCCCTCCGTTCACATCTCCAACACTGTTACTCCCTCTCCGACGTCATTACTCCATCGAGCCTTTCTCCATCTCCAATGCCACTGCATTGTGCATATCTCTCCCTCTGTTCACATCTCCAACACTGTTACTCCATCTCCGACATCATTACTCCACCAGATCTCTCTCCATGTCCAATGTTGCTGCACTGTTCATATCCCTCTCTCCATTCACATCTCCAACATTGCTACTCCGTCTCCGACATTGTTACTACACTGTTACTCCATCAGATCTCTCCCTCTGTTCACATCTCCAACACTGTTACTCCATCTCCGACATCATTACTCCACCAGATCTCTCTCCATGTCCAATGTTGCTGCACTGTTCATATCCCTCTCTCCATTCACATCTCCAACATTGCTACTCCGTCTCCGACATTGTTACTACACTGGACCTCTCTCCATCTCAATGCCGCTGCCATTTACTCGATCAGCTTCTAACAAGTCATGATATTTTTTTCACGAGTCGTGACCCCATATCCCAAGTTTTGGGAAACCACATCTCATTATTTCTCAACCCATCTCAGAAAACAAACGAACGAAAATGATAATCCAAGGAGAATATTCCTATTTTCTATTCTCAGTCACACCAACCAAACAGGCTGTAAATTCCCAATTTCTTTTTCAAAGAGGATTGCCACACTACTGTTGTTTAGATTGCACTCTTTAAATTTATATGGTATATAACCATAGTTTATATAATGATATGGATTGTATGTTTTGGAATTTGGATGGTAGAAAGTGATTATTTCTTAAGCATCTAAATAGATAATTGACAGAAGAGGTCGAAGAAAGAGGAAATAACTGGAGATAAATTGCTGAAGAATGATCCATTTTAGCTACCAACTATTCTTGCTGAAATCTTTGCCTCCACAGCAATACAATGTACATAATCATCTCTGCAACCAACAAATATTTGGCCTCCAATCATCACAGGTGATGAGAAAATGTCTCCATTGAGGTTCACCTTTGCATATTCCTGTACCATTGGGCCCAAATGGTCTTTTGCTGATTGGTTTCTTTCTGTAATAACATTCAAGTTGATCTGAAGCAAATAGATGCTTCCTGAACTACCACAAATGCATGCCAACCTGGGAAGAAAAAATGAGGTCAAGATATGTTCCTTACTGTATAGACTACGAATTATAATTTGAGTCTTTGAGTATCGAGTCCAGTAATTCTTTTACCTGTCAGCTAGACGAGAACGATTACATAGCTGCAAGTTCTCATCTACATATGCAGATGAAGTTATTGGCTCCCCAATATTGTATTCCCACAATAACTCTCCCACTTCCTGGAAAAAATGAAAGTTCAACAAATGGAACTGGTGGTTCCCAATTTATATAGTTTCTATAAAATAAAATTAGTGCTTGTATAGTTCAGTCATGCATGACTTCATTGGAAGACTGAACCTAACAATCTAACAAGATGGTACACAGGAAGATCTAAATTGATTACCTATATAAAATGAGAGTTTGACTTCGTCACTCTTTTTGGTCAATTCCAACTATTCTATTACCATGTAAATTCTTTCGCTTTTATTCTAGTTTCCTCTCTCTTTCTCTCTCTCTCTCTCTCTCTCTCTCTCCTTCCTCCCGCCACATGACTAGCCCATACCCATTGCAGATGTGATGAGCATGTCTCAGGATGGTTTGTAAAAATGAGGATGAAAATTGACCCATGAATTCATGTATGCATCGATATTCTTTTATTTTTGATTAGTTTATGCATAGGTACAAGAATGGTATAATAGTTTTTTGAGAGCATGGTGGATTTTACATGAAATTTTATCTCCATACATTGATGCCAAAGAACTTCCACTTGGGGTGTTCAAATTTGGTTACCAAACTGAATAAGTTAATTCGGTTCTATTTTTTCAGTTTGGTAATTTTAAAAAATATCAGTTTTCGGTTCAGTTTGAGAAAATTTTTCAACTGAGCCAAACTAAAAACTGCATTAACCGGAACAAATACATATATATTAATATTAACACTAATATTAGTATATATTAATCTTAATACATAACATGTATTTTAATTATAAATGTTGATATATTTTAATAATAAATATTGATTCAAATATAACATACATTCATATTTTAATTAACCGATTTAAAACTGAACTGAACTGATTTGAATTCATTCCAGTTTTAAAGCCTAATTCGGTTCAGATCATGAAAATGGCCTAACCGAAATGTCAGTTAGGTACTATTTCCGAACCGAACCGACTGAATGAACACCCCAAATTTCCACATAAGGATTGTTTACTGGGGTGCAAGTTGAGAGGGCTGGACCAGGTTTAAGCTCAACCCAGGCCCAGCCCTAAGAATTGGGCCTAAGGCCCAAGCCCAAGATAAAGCCCAAATTATATAACCCGGGCCCAGTCCACACTGGAATCTGATGCACTCAGGTTGGACTCCAGTTGGTCAATCAGCCCACACTAAAATTTTATGTATATGCGTCATGTGTGTATATGTATGTATGGTTTACCAAAAAAGATGTATGCATGCAAATATGTGTGATGTATATAGATGGGCTGGGTTTGGGCTACCTAAGGATTAGGCTGGGGCCCAACGCGAAAAATAAAAAGCCCGAACTTTGGCCCAAGCCCATCCCATATAAAACTGTGGGCTGGGTTGGTCCAAGCTTGAGTTGGGCCTGCCCAAGCTGCATCCTACGTTTTTTCTGCTAGTGGAATAGGTGCCTGGAATCGGAATTGGAATGCCAACCGTTTGGTTGGTTGGACTGGATTCTCATTCCAAAGTTTGTCAAGAATAATAATAAGATATTATTAATGTAATAATAAGATAAATAAAATAATACGATAATATTAACAAAATATTAATAATAATATATCAATAATTAAATAATAATAAAATAATCAATCGTTAATAAATTATTAATAAGATATTAGTAAAATAGTAATAAAAAATAATACAATAACAAAATATTAATACATTAATGTTAAAATACTAAGATGATCATCAAATACTAATAAACAACAATAAAGTATTAATAAAAAAATAATATAGCAAAATAATAAAGTAATAATCAAATAACAAAATATAAATAATTTGGGTTTGACTATGATACCGGGAAAACTTACAACCAATCAACCAGCATCATAAAAGTAGTAACCAATCAGGTAAGTTTTCATCAAAATTCAAGGGGGTTGTGATTGGTCAAAGCCTTTCTGGTATCATATCTTTCCAGGATCATATATTTTCCCAAATAAATTAATACAAAATTGAAAATTTTCGGTTGATTCCGATTCCAACTCCAAATGAACCAAACAACTATGATTGGAATCCGATTCCAATTGCTGTCTGAACCAAACAGGCATTGGGAATACATGATTCTAATTCTGGTCCTGACCATGAACCAAACTTGGACTTTTTTTCCTGGGCATATCTATGATGACTTAATGCCAAGTTATCTTAGCCTGGTTGGAACTGGCATGTGTATAACATATTCCTGATGTTTCTGGTGTTAAGGCTTGCCAATTTCTTTAGCATGAAGATCCCTGTTAGTAATTCTTTTTCTTTCTCTTTCTTTTTTTTTTTAATCTTTTATTTTCCTTTTGTTGATGAGTGTAGGCATGTGTATGTGTTTCTTTTTTCCTTTTCTTTTATGGCTCGAGTAGAATGTTTCTTCAGATCCATATCCTGCTTATTGAGATCATTCAAATTGGATCTAGATCATGATATGACCCACAGGAAGTCCTATTGGCAAATTGACCAGAATCTACAGTTTTTGGCCCCAGTTATTGATCCATGAACAAGATACTACCTGTCTTTTGATGAAACATGTAGAGAAGTAACATCCAATTTGTTTTAGTAGGTCTATACAAAAAATGAAAAGAAGAAAATCATTTAAAAGAAGACATCAAATGTTAGTTATTGGAATGCACTTTTGATAATCAGGTAATGAAGAAACTGCATTAATTATGAAGAATAGGAGTCTATGAGCAAAGCCTTTTACAGTGATGAACGATCATGCATTTGGTAAAAAAATTTTTACATTTTATATTATAGAGCTTACCAGTTCAAATGAGTACACACTTCCATTTCTAGAACATACAAGGATCTGCATTAGAATCAAAACAAAGTAATCAACACATTAAGATCAGGGACAACAATTTTTATAGGAAATATGAAAATTTGGAAATGTTGTATGGAAATATTGAACTAGTTATAGACATGGTGGAAACATTTTTTTGAAGATAAATAAAAAAGAAATTTTAGTAAGAATAGAAAAAACAGGATACAGACACAGGTGATGAACAATCATCCCGAATAAAAGAAGGTTGTGTTTATTGACCCGTATCGGCCAATATGTGAAACTTTGGTCCTTTGGGGTTTTGACCTTCAAGGGGTAGGCAGACCTTAGACCTTAGTTGTATGGGGTCTAAGGTAAAAACACCCAATTTGCCAATGGGGCTACACCTTACTTGTGTTAGGTTGCGGTATTAGAACTTCTAGCAAATTCTTATGATTATGGATTCTGAATTGCCGCTTCACGCTCATGCTAGGGTGATCCTTAGAAGCAAGGTGTTACACCTTAAGCTAGGGGTGTGACTTGGATGGGATTATGTTGGGCTTTTGTCAAAATTTGAATGGGCATGGCCTGAAGGCCTGAATCAGAAGCACTGTAAAATGCCAACTTGGGCCAACTCAAGTTGCATCCCTACTATAACCCGATTATAGTGAGCAATGTTTTAAAAGGCATGGGAGGCATATGTAGAGGCATGCCTCCAGGTGAGGCGCCCCCAAAGCACCTTGAGGTGTATGCTAGAGGCATTGATGCTGTTGAGGCTGATGACTTGGGCCACAACCATGTGTTTTGATGGTAACAAACACACTGGATGAACTAATGTTGATCTAAGTCTTACAGCCCAGGAATAGGTAATGATGTGATGCATCAATCAAAGAAGCAAGACAAAGAGACAAATTTCACCAAGCATCTGATTGGAATATTTTGTCATGAAAAAAAGTCTCAAAGTGTTTCACATTATGAGTATCAAGAGTCAAATCAAGAATCAGATGTGAAGCAAATCAAGAATACCTTGCCATGTTGCGGATAAAGTCAAATCAAGTTTTGTTGGTCTTAGGCATTTTATGTAATCAACTCAATAGAGAGTTTTGAAACTTGGGATGAGTGAATTAGTTTGGACCTTAGGTGGACCATTCAACCCTATGAAAGAGGTTGGTTATTAAGTAAAAAGGTTTTAAAATCACCTAGAAGGGTTGATGTGAAGTGAATGTCTAAGGGTGCAATGTGCTTAATAGGTAAATTTGAGGTTTAGGGGATATCCCCTGAAGACAAGGAGACATTTCCAGCCCTAAGGACATTAAAATATGCGGAACAAGTAATGAGACTTAAAATCCGTCAAAACTTAAAATAGACTTGATTTGGCTCAAAACCCGGTTGGACCAGAAGTGTCAAAAAGGTAAAACTAGCTATATAGGGCAGGAGACATCTCTTGGAAACCGTCCTAGCACAGGGGACGTCCCCCAACAGTCAGGAGTGGAGACATGTCCTGGTGATAGTGCTAGTCCAAGAGACACCCCCTACATGATTGGAGATATCCCTTGAGGCACAGGAATGAGGAGACATCCTCTTGTCCTGACATTCTTTTAAACTGTTGGCATGTATTGTGATTTGTGACCATTTGTACATTGCATTTAATGCCTCTTACAGGGTTGTCCAAACAGGACAAAAGAGCAAATGCAAAAGGGAACTTCTAAGGAATTTACCTTGTTTGTGAAAATGTATAAAGGCACTTGTAAGTTACCATTTTAATGATACTAGACATTTGACCTGAAAAGTAAAAAAGGTACTTGCCCTTTTCTAAGAAAATGTTGGATAAAGCAAAAGCTTTTTAAATGAAAAACTGAGATAGTGAGATGCCAATTTGCCATACTTCAAAAGACCAATGAGAAAGTTCTCAATGGCTATATTGGTAGATTACCTTATTTGGGAAAAGTACACTTCAACCAAGATAAAAGGAATTTCGTATGAAAGAAAGAAAAAGACAAACATCAATGTCTCAGAAGAGACATTAGTGAAAATTCTATAAAGGAGAAATTTGAATCGCTTGAATGAGGGGGTAAAAGAGAGGGATGCTAGGAGCAAAATAGGTTGTCAGGAACATCTCCTCTCCTAGGAAAGGTTACCTTCCTAGGAGACGTCCCCTAGTTTCAGCCTTTCAGGAGGCATCCCTTCTCATAAGGAGACTTCAGCTCCTCCTAGGAGACATCCCCTCTCCCAAAGAATCATCCTCTACTTATCACTAAGCTCATGTGCTTATATATTTTGAATCTAGTTTGAGCTGAGTTTATTTTGAGTGGTAGATGTTTCAATCTACTCATTGAGTGTCTGTGTGCTTCAATTTAATATCTGATCTAGGAGGGATTCATGTATGCCACAATCTAAGAGATAGTTTGCAAAGAGTGTGCTAGCACCTTGTCAACTAGCAGAGGTGTCGAGTCCAAGAGGGTGGAGGCAATGTCATCAATCTTGCAGGGTGGAGGTGTGGTTAGGTTTGGGTGGCACCCAATCAAGATCATCTGTTTTTGGTGGCACCCGGTCAAGTCCATTTAGGTTTGAGCAGAACTTGTAAGACTACTTGTGTAAAGGTGTTAATTGAAGTCTGTAAATCAATTCTGTTAGTGAAACTCCCAAGTGGTTACTTGGGAACAAGCCATAGGCCTAGTTGTAGCCGAGCCTATATAAATTATAAATCCTGTGTGCACTCTTGTTGATTGTTTGTTTCTCTCTTCATCGTCTTATCTCCAACTCAGCACTACTTTGTTCAATCTTCACAAAGGTCAGGTGCATGATTCTTGAGGCTAAACTCAAACTCTATCTTAAAGACATACTCTATCTGAAAGGCACTAGTCTAATCTTCAGTGTTCATGTATCTGATCTAAAAGTTAAACAATCATCATACTTAGATTCAAAACTATCAGGAGTCATCTCTTAAACTCCAAGAGACGTCTCCTAATCTCTAGAAGGCATCTCCCTTAATCTTATGGTGACGAACCCTTTGGCTCAAGGAAAGAGTTGACTCAAAGAAGTCCTCTAGTCCCTAGGATAGGTTCATCATGATGGGCCGATTGGCCAACATATGAGTCATCCTTTGTGATCCCAGAGTCATCTCTTGCTTTATGATAGTTTACGCTTCATTGGAATATATATATATATATATATAGTTTGAACTATTTGTGTTGAGAAAACAGGAAATTAGAAGGGGCAGAATTTGGGACCCTAGTATGTCATATACATCCCCCCTCTTGGGTTGCAATCTAGGCCAATAGATGCCTTTGAGGTGCACACCTTAGTTGCATGAGGTATACACCTCATACACCTTTTGCATGAGGCATTCTAGAGGAACTCAGATTAGCTGAATACCTCATGCTATTGAGCAGGATGTAGGGGTCAATTACATTTGTCCACATTACTTTTATAGAAGAATGATCCTCATGTGGTAATCCTTCTAACATAGACTGAACTTCATAGATAAAACACTGAAATTATTCAGTTGCATCTGATTGATTAGGTTGCAAAATAAAAAGGTCTTACCTGAGAAGGAAGAACATAAGACATACAAGGTGCAGAAAAAATTGGACCACCTGTTTTTACCTGAATAATACCACTTAGTTAATAATAAAGAATATGTGAATATTGGTAATATAAACACAAACGAAAATATGGAACAAGAGGAAGAAACATCCAATTTATGTAGTGGTATTATAGTAACAAGAATCAAGCATCCATAAGCCAAGCAGGAAGATGGTTCAACAGAGAAAGTATCCAATTCCTTTAGTAGGTTATTTTAGGAAGAAGCCTGAGAGAACTTGTAAGATTAAAAAGAAGACTAATTCCCAATTGACAAGATATTAGTTCCTCCTGTACTTCTTATTATCAATCTGAATTCTTCAAGTTTCTATTTATATATAACAAGAACAGGTTAAACATACTAAGGCCCTCTTTGATGATTAAGTGGTTGTTAAAAGAAGTACTTGTTAGAAGTACTTATTTTAACAACCACTTAAGGCTGTTTGGTAACCCACTTGTCAAATCACTTATTATGCTTTTAAGCACTTATTGGAGTGGAGATGTTTGGTAAGCTACTTTCCCCATAAGTGCTTATATTGACACAAATGACAATTTTAGCCCATCCCCTTCCCTTAACCCTCTCTCAGTCCGGGTGGCAATGGGAGGTTTGATCCCAGATTTCTGCTACTAGAGTCAGAAGTGCAGATGGGAAATGTCAACTTGCCGGAAAGTTCAGGGGTATTCACGATCTCCTTCGTCATTTCCCTCCAACTCCTGCAAACCCTAGCACAAGCAACCACGTGCCTCCAAGGAGGCCAGGCACCTTCTGATTCTTCTGGTGGTGCAAGCAGGAGCAGCTCCCATTTTTTTTGACTAGTACTAGTAGTACGCTCTGAAATTCCAGTAAAAAACACTAAACCCAGTCAGGTCCTATGCTGGAAAGGTTCATTAGACGCTTATGTAATCTGAAGTGCTATACTCGAAGTAGCAAGAAAGAAAAGAGAATGACAGAAAAGAATAGAATGTCGAACTGTACTAGCCAGTCGACCARTTCTTTATTTATAGATGAATATAGTACAAGGTACAAGAAATTACTGGGATGCCCCTGATTAGTGATGGGACACCCAGATGGCTTAAATCATTAAACAGGATTAGGCCCATTAACACAAGCCCAGTTACAAGATAAGTTAAACATAAGAATGRGCTAATAAGAACACTTATCAGCCGAACATAACTCTAACATTCTAACAGCTTAGATGGATTTCATAGGTCTTGCAGCTTGAACTTCTGAGCTCTAACTGAACCCCCATCATTTTCTACAAGCAACTCGGTGTATATTTGAGGAGTTTCTTGGGAAGCTAGGAGTTCTGTCTATCCCCAACCAAAAAGAGAGAGTGAGACAAAGAAACAATTGCAGTGCATCTCTTCAGCCCCTGTCTTCAGAAATGGTGAAAAAGCCAGTAAGATACTGTGTGGTAATCTCTCTCTCTCTCTCTCTCTGTAGTGCATGGTTTAACTTCATTTCTAAATCCATGGAGTTATCATCTAGGTTGACGTGTTTACCGATTCAGCATTCAAAGGAAACTCCGCCGTGGTTTGTCTGTTGGAAGAAGAGAGAGACAAGGAGTGGATGCAAGCTGTTGCAAAGGAATTTAACATCTTGGAGACAGGTTTCTTGACTCGGATTACTGATACCAGGTCGGAAGGTAAAGAGTTGAACTCGAGATTCCGTCTCAGATGGTTCACTCCTGTTGCAGAGGTTAGTTCGCTTCATCTTCTCCTCTCACTTTCATCTTAACTTCTTTATATGTATTCGTTTGCATTAGTTTAGCTTCAAGCAATTTTCGCTTTTGGGTTTTTTAGATCTTTTCTTGTTTGAGTTTTTTGAGAAAATTTAAGTAGTTCACAACGTTATTTGACCATGTAAATTAGCTGTTGTGTGCAAAAATTGGAAACAAATGCCTGAACTTCTCTATCGGATATTACATATATGAGTATATAACTGCAACTCGGCCGGGCTCAACCTGAGCTTTTGCGCGCGACAGATTTGGGCATCATTACATAGATCCGTTCCTTCAAAGCCTCAAAATGAATCTGACAATGTGTTCCTCAGCTCAAAAGCACAAACCTCCATTAAAACTGCAGATTCTCCTCCAAGAAAAATGATTTAATGAGAAGAAAAACTTCACAAAATGGTAGAAAATGGCAAAACAACAGGTAAGCCGGCCATTTTTCCTCACCGCTGATTGTCGCCAATGGACCTGTAACTGGGTGCGCCGCTGCCTGGTTTGCTATGTTCGAATGAGAGGAGAGGGAGGTAAAACCCTCGCACGGGGGTATTTTGGGTATTCAAAGAAAATACTAGGGACTGGTTTGTCCCATTCTATTGGAAGAAGTACTTCTCCAAGAAGTGCTGAAAAAAAGCCAACTTCAGGTCACTTTTTTAAGTACTTTTAACAAAAAGTACTTCTTCCTCACTTTTTTAACAAACACATAAAAGCACTTAATAACCACTTAATGTGTGGTCCCAACTCTTAAAAGAAGTACTTTTTAGAAGTGAAATCAAACAGGGGCTAAATAGGTACAAAGAAGCCGAGGAAAATAGAGGTCAATTGGGCAATTCATGATCTGACAATTAGTGGTATAAAATAGTGAACAACTCTTTGTTAACTAGTTTTCCTTCCTTAATCACTGGTTCTAGCCATAATTATTTAGCATAGATAATGTTCATGTGGGTCCCCTTAGGAAAGAAGACCAATGAAAGAAATAACTACCCATCTAAATAAAACAGAAGCAAACTATTATTATTCTCTACATTCCTCAATCTGAGCATGGATATTGATCATGCCCAACTTGCTAAGAATATATTTAAACTGTAGCCATGCAACACTCTTGACGAATGTATCTATTAACTGATGACTTAAACATGCAAACAATAGGCTCAATTCACCATTGAAGACCTTCTCCCAAATGAAATGTCTATCCACCAACTGGCTGCTTGATTATTGCAATACATTCTTAGAAAATCTATTAACAATAATCATCAATTCTCCCAAAAGATTCATCAGACAAAGCAATTTAGAGAGACCGTGAGCCGTGAGTCTATGCTTGCATATACACTTGATCTACAAACTACCAATTTCTTTTACTTGATCTTGAGACTAGGCCTCCAACCACAAATGTACAATATCCAGAAATAGACCTCCTCTCATAAATATAAGCTGCCCAACCACAAATGTATATGCTCTATTCCAGAGATGCTCATTCTTAAATAAAAATGTGAATGCTTGAAGTTTTCTTCTACTAACATAAAAGACACTCTGCTGCCTCGATATGAGAAACAGTGGGTGGATGATTATATTTTCACAGCATTAGGATTCTTGTTAAAAATCTGCTTACCTTTTGGTTTGGCGTTGATTATTTCTAATTCTAGAACTGCATTCTTCTCAAAAATATGGATAGATGCAGGCTTTTCATCCTCTTTTTAGCTAAACCTGCATTTTCAAAAGAAGTCAAACCACCTTGACTTATTCAAGGGCATTGGAAACTTCTCTTCTAGATTTCTTAAGGTTTACCAAGCAAACTCATCTCCTCCCATGAAGCCCAACCCCAATAACTTGCTCATTTTCACCTTCTGTACCGACCACTTGTAAATCAATTGATCTTCCAATAATGTAAGTTTTATCCATTTGCACCTCAACCTCATTCGTTCACTTGAGTACTTGACTCACAAGCTTCAACTTCTTTGTTTTCCAACTCACAGTAACTTTAATCATCCTCATCTTTGCAAGTACCCTTCTCACTATCATCCTTTTCCTCATCTGAAATGTTACCAATGTCACCATTCCCCTGAAAAAGTCTATAACGATAGTTTCTTGTATATAGATTTGAACCAAAGACTGCTGCTGTTCCTTTCACACCTTGCCTTGTTTTAATCTCAAGTTCTCCTTCCTCCTGAAAATTTGGCCTACCTCTTGCGAGATTGAAAACCCCTTGATCAGATTCACAATTCTGTTTGAACGAAGAAGCTGCCTCCCTCGCAGTATGGGCATTATGATCATCTTTATCAGGACCACACAAAATTTCTTGTCAAGCTTCTACCTCAATTGTTGGTTCTTTTACAAACCCTTGAATTTCACTCACTAAAACTTTTTTCCCTTCGAGCTTCTCTTCTCCTGGAAACTCCATTGGTTTTCTTCTTCTTTTTTTTTTTCTTGAGAAAAAGGAAACTTTCAGTTAACCAGGGGGGGGGGGGACCTATACATGAGATGTACAAGAGGGGTTAGCAACAAAAAGAAAAAGCCCAGTCAATCAAGAGGTAATCTGTTACCACTATACAATGTATCCCTTCCCAACCCCGATTTAGCCAAAATGTCTGCAATCTGATTAGGGTTTCTTGGAATCCATCTGAACCTGCAACGTGAAGTGGCAGTGATATCAGCTATTTTATGAAGAAGGTGAGAGAATCTCCAAGGTTCAACCCAAAAAGAATAAATTGAGCCCATGACAGTTGTAGAATCACCTTCTACTGAAATAGGATTAGCATTCAAGGACTTTGCTATTTGCGGACCCTTCAAAAGAGCTTTTAACTTGGCCTCAGGGAAATCAGTTGCTTTAAAGGACCACTAAAGGGCAAAAATAGAGAACCTTCTGGACCTAAAATGACATCCCCAATACTAGCACCCAGAGGGTGCTGTCGAGAAGTTCTTAGGCTGCCACTAAAGCACAAAATATAGGTGTTGAGGGGTCTTGGAGACAGAGGACAGATCCAATCAGCAACAGGGGATGATTGCAAGATCAGCAAGAGATTCCTGTCAATGTTAGCAAAATGGAATCTATTGAAGGACTTATGAGCCAAAGCATGTCTATTGAAGGACTTATGAGCCAAAGCAAAATGGAATCTATTGAAGGACTTAAGGTCAAAGCATGTCTTCTCAGATTTTGATGGGATATGACCCACCGCAGAGGTCTCTTCAAGGGAGACCTAACCTCCTAAGAAGAGAAGTTAAGAGAGAATGGAAAATAACCAGGTTTGTCGTACTTGCTTATTATGAGATATTTATAGTAACATAAGGATCCACATA